ACCTGGAAGATGAGAACTGTTTAACAAGAAGAAGAAGAAGAGTTTGGATTTGATCACTACCCGAAGGAGTCTCAAAGAGTCTAACATTCTCCTTTCCCTTCCTCCCCCACAACAAACACTCTGTGAGGTGAGTGGGGCTGAGAGACTTCAAAGAAGTGTGACTAGCCCAAAGTCACCCAGCAGCTGCATGTGGAGGAGCGGAGACGCGAACCCGGTTCACCAGATTACGAGTCCACCGCTCTTAAGCACTACACCACACTTGCTCTCCACAAAGAGAGGAAACGCCACCATCCCAAGCACATCTCACTCGTACGCACACCTTTCCCTTAACAGAAGGACCCCAAATTCGGTGGGGCAAGGGCTGCCCCTTTGAAATCTTCCCCCGGCCAGTTCCCCCGGCTGACAGGTTTGCGGCCCCAACTGAGAGCGGCTGCTGTCCTCGGCCACTTTTGCGAAAGTCCCCCAGGAGAGCGGCCGTCGGGTGGGTCTCTTCCACATGCGGGACCGCCTCGGGGCTTCTCTCTCTCTCGACCCTCACAGATCTTTCCACCTTGGGGGTTGGGGCGAAGAGGTGGGGGAAACGGATTCCTTGGAAGTTGGGGTTGATCAATGCATCATCTAAACGCAGGTTGCAAAACCAACGCCTACGAGCCGGATCTGCTCCAGGGAGAACCCCCCGTGCTAAGACACCCTTCGTCCCAGCCTCCCCCTCCCCCATGTTTCCTTCGGGAACCGGCCCCGTCTTGTTCAATGGAGTTTCCTTGCGAATAAGTACGCATATGTACTTGGATGGATGGATCGTACGGATTGTCTTTGACAAGTCTCGTTAGGAGCTAGCGGAAAGGAAACGGGGTTGGTGCAATTGTGGTTGAGTGTCGCGACTCTGCACAGATTTACTCTGGAGTAAGTCCCATGGCGCCCACTCCTCTGTAAAGAGGCAGCGAGGCGCGTTGCTTTCCCGAGGAGAAATTAATTTGTCCATTAATGGCCTTATCCGGCTCCCCACCCCGCTCAAAACATGTCTCCTTACGTAACCTCATCAACAACAAATTAATTACAAATCTCGTGAACCTGAATAAGGGAGAGAGGCGACTCACACCTGAGTCCTCGGCAATCGACTGTATTTCACCCTCTTTTTATTATTGCTGTGGTGTCGAAACTTGCCCCAGCCCTCGTTTGAGGGAAATTAGTAAGCCACCCATTATTTCTCACATCTCTGGGTTGTCAACTGGCGGCGTCTTCCGACCGGGACGGCGATCGAGGGCGGCGGCGAGGCAGACAGAGAAAATCATATTGGAAGGAGCCTAGGAAAAGACTGGGGGGGGGGTCGAGTGTTTGGGGAACCGGGGGGCAGCCTCGGCATAGGCGGGGTGGCGAGCTGGGCAAATGCCCCCGCTCGATGTTTGCCAGTCCACCCGATCTGAATTAGGGCAAGAAGAAAGGGCAGAGACCCGTTTATCTCTGGGAAGTAATATGGAGAAGTTTTGTTTATTTGGCAGATTTCTACCCAGCCTCTTCTCCTCTCCCGAAAGACTCGAGGCGATGCCCAGAGGGGTTCCCGGGTGGTCTCTCCCCTCCAGGCACTGACAAGAAGACCCGCAGCTCCTGAGCTCCAGCAAAGGTGGTGTTACATCATCAGCTCCTCTCAGGACAGCTCTGGAATGAATGGTCGTCTTTCCTCCCCTCCTTGTTTTAAAGGGGTAAAAGCTCGGTAGTACGACAGACATGTTGCACACAAAGGGCTCCGGGTTCAATCCTGGTGTCCGAAGCCCTAGAGAGCCTCTGCTAGTCGATCCTGAGACCACTCCAAGAGCTCAGACTTTGTGTGAAGGCAGTTTCCGATGGATAATGGGTGTGACTCCCCATCTCTTCTGTACATCCTGATGAGTGGGGACACCTGCTCCCCCCCCCAAAAAAAAACCCTGACCTGGCAGCTCCTTTCTCTGCCATCTTGCTACAGCACACCCTCGGGACATTATTTATTATTTGCCGGTTGCATTTATATACCGCCTTTCCGCTAAGGCACCTAAGGCGGTTTACAACGTAAAATATTAGAACAAACCTAACGCTGCACAAATATTCTCAGGCCAACTTCAGGAGTTGATGACACTAGCTTCCTGGCTCGGGCTTCCTCGAGGGCCGGTGACTACCCTTCTCCAGGAGTAGGAGTCCTGCTCATGTCCTAGGTGCTTTTAGAAACCGCCCGGTTGTTGTTTCTTAAGCAGTTGTTTCATAACTGAGGACTGAAATCCAGGATACCTCTTACCCCATCGCTTGTTCTTTAGTAGGCTTGAATCCTCTAAATTTCAGTGGAGCTGACTTCCAACCAAGCCCAGGGATTTAGGATCAGAAATCGGAACTTGGAAGATAATAATAATAATAATAATAATAATAATAATAATAATGGCCTTTAAGGGTTGTTTGTTTGTTTGTTTGTTTGTTTTGTCTCTTTGTATCCCCATCGGTGGCTGAAGGTTTAGGGCACAAGTGAATGTCATCGTCCCCGATGGGTGATAAATGGGTGAAACACCAGCGCCCCTCCACACCCCCTACCATGCAGAGGAAGGGGAGAAGCTATTATCAGAAGAGGAGGGGGAAGAATTAATTCGTTTCAATTAAGGGGGAAATACAAGGATACGATTTGGTGTCTGGGGCTTCTCTGCCCTCCTCTTCGTTCTCCTTCCAAGTCGCGAGCTTCGCCCTCCTGAATGTAGCAGAGCTGTCCAGATTTGCCAGAGGCAGCCGTGGGCCCGCACCCGATCCTGAGCTACGCCTCGCTGGATTCAAAGGGGACTTATTTCCCAGCAGGCATGTTTAGAAAGTGCAGCCTCCCTCAGTCCCGCTCAAATCCGTGACATGGTCCTCACATAAATCCCGAAAAATTGTAGCTGTGGGTAAGGCTTGGGAACTTGAGACCTGCAGAAAGGAGGGAGGGAGGAAAAGGCTGACATACAAAAATATATATATTTATCTCTCACAATACATCCCTCTAATATGCGCACATTATATCTCTCTCCATCGCTCACTAGATACACAAAAATATATTCCTACAGGACAGACCTCTCTCTCTCTTTATATCTATCTATCTATCTATCTATCTATCTATCTATCTATCTAGGAAGGTATGGAAGTTTTCCACCTAGTAAATAGATTTATTATACAATGAGGGGGGTGTCATATCCGTCAGTCTGTAAGGTGGGCAATATTTTCCGCTCATATTCACTGCTGATTCCCTTCTTTTCTGTATCAATGTGTCAATTGCATTCGTGGGCACTAATACCTTTATGACTTTCTGCCTCCCCGCTCTCTTTATCAAGACAGACAGACAGCCTGGTGGATATATACATGTTCATATTCGGTCTTAAATTACAAGCCAAGACACATCTCCTGTTGTTGCTGCTGTTGTTGTTGTAGTAGTTTGGGCTAGGGGAACGCGTCCCTAGACGGACGTCTCCATTTTATCCAGCTGTACGGATTTATTGACTGATTCCCCTCAATAAATTAGGTGTACCAACACCCCCCGATTGTTTCACAGCATCGGCGAGTAAGTAAGGGGGCGCAAGGTTGCTTGTTAGGCTCCTGTGATTTCTGCTTATTATCTTTCTGCCCTTGTCCAGATCATAAGTGAGGACCGATAACGTGCCAGCCACTTTCGTTTCCTTCTCCCTGACGCATTTATTTTTGTTGCTGCCGACGAAGTTTCCTAGCGCATCTCTATCCTGTCGGGAGATACGTATCGATGCTCGCAGACGTGGACTGGGAGACGCAAGGAGACGGACTCATTTCGTGCGCCTAGATAGACGCAGCGCATCTGCCGTCATAAAAGTGCGTATGCGTATATATATCCATCAATCCGTCGATCAAAATTCTGCCCACCTGACATGCCTGCTCTGCCTCACCTCACCTCACCCCACATGCATCGGGGAGGCTCCCCCCTCTCCCCTGCTGGCCTCACCAGGAAAAGTGCGGTGTTTGTGTGTGTGTGTGTGTGTGTGTGTGTAAGAGAGAGAGAGAGAGAGAGAGAGAGAGAGAGAGAGAGTGAGAGTGTGTGTGGAAGCCCTGAATTCCTGATGGTGGAAACGCATGAAACTTCCAACAACCCCAGGCCGAGCTGTAAGCTACAAAAGTATTATTATTATTATTATTATTATTCCCGGACTCCAAGGGAAGGAGGAGGAGGAAGAGGGAAGGGCAGCTTCTGCTCCTGTCACATAGAAACAAGTCGTTGCAAAGGTAATCCTCGCCCATTATTAAACTCTAGACAACCCTTCCATTTCGGAGAGAGAGAGAGAGAGCGCACTCATCTGTAGCTTCTCCCCCCCCCCCAAATAAGGCACTACAATGATCAAAGCTTCCACATCTAATCAACACCCTCCAGTCCGGAGACAAAAGCCAGTGAGCAAAATAAAAAGAGGGCAGGGTTGGGGGGATGGGGGAATTCTAATTCTGTCGGGTGCTCTGACTGGCCTCCCCGCAACCCATCACCATTTTGGACCAGGATCCCACTTATCCTGATGCTCAGGCACAGTTAGGATTCTATTTGCGAACTCCTACACACACACACACACACACACACACACGCCCAACCAGGGTTAAGCCTCGCCGGGATGGATGGGCACTCCTCCCCAGTGATCAGGGGTGGTGGTGAGTTTGAAGAGTGGGGAGAGGGAGGAGGAGAGGAAGTCTTTGGCCGCCACGGTTAGGAGCAGAGCAGCTCCGGGACCTGCCCGTGCAAACCTTTCTTCAGCCGCACCCCCCCTCCACCGACATCCCAGCCTTCCTCCCCACTCCCGCCAGTAACTTAAACCAGATTGTCAGGGTGGGTGGGGAAGGACGCCGGGCTGCAGAATGCTACTGAGAGAGGGTCGGCTCGGCTCTGGAGAGGAGGATGTCGCCTTGGCCGCTTCGGACGCCCTCCCTGCTGGGGACCTGGGAAAGGAAGAAACATTTCCTGTGCCGGCGGTGAGGTAGCTCACTCAGGTGGCTCTGCCTGCTTCCGGACAGAGGTAGGGAGAGAAAGGGAGGGAGGAGGGAGGGAGGGAGGGGGGCATCTCTCTCCCTCTCTCCCTCTCTCCTCTCTTTCTAACACACACACACACACACACGGAATGGGGCTCTGTAATTCACCTCGCTGGGAAAAGACGGTGGAAAGATGTTGTTATTGTTTATTAAAAAAATAAATTTGCACACATACACGCACGCCTCCTTTCCCATTGAAACTTCACCTTCCTTGTGTTGTTGGGCGGAAAATCAGTAATCTTGCCCTCATCGCCTTCGGTCCTGTGAGAGGGTGAGGGCTGTGTGTGTTTGTGTGCGTGTGTGTGTGTGTGAGAGAGAGAGAGAGAGAGAGAGCGGCGCGCGCGCACACACACACACAGATGCCTTGTTTAGAGAGTCCTCCTTAAAACGTGTTTCGAATTCACTGTTCGTTTCAAATCATTATTCCTGGTGATACTGCCTGTTCCCACATATAACTTCGGAAGCGGGAGAATTAACTGCTCATAACAAAATAGGTGCCGAGGAAGACTAGATAGGGACTGGGACCGGAGAGAGAGAGGAATCCATGTATGTTTGTCTTGGAACCAGACATTTTACAATCCAAATTGCAACAGTCTTAATTCCACGCGGGTCCGAGTCTTGCAATTAATCCGGCGATGGCCCCCACAGTTGGTCCCCCGAAAAGTTGATCTGGCCACGGCTGCCTCCCCCCCCTGCCCCCCGCTCCCTCCATCGCCCTCTCTTTCTTCTGCCTTTGCAATGAAGACTGAATCCCCCGAGCGCTAATTGAATTAGCCTATTGAGAAGATTGTCAGGTACAATGACGTGGGATCCCCCTGCATTTCTCCGGGTCTATAGGCTTTGGGGACCCGGAATGTATAGCCTGACCTTCCCGCTCATAATAATAAGGCCGCACTTGTAGGAGAAATCTATTCGCATTCACTTTTAACAAAACCTCTGGTCAGCCAGTCCCTGTAGGAAGGATGAAATCTATTGTATTGCAACAACTCATTTATGTCCTTCACCAAAGGCCCCAATGAGATCTGATCTGGCCCTAGAAATAGGATTATCAGCGTGTATATTAAAGGCGGCGATATATACTTCCTAAACGGAAACGGCGAAGGCCAGCCTGGCGAGAGGCGCAGGGTACACACACGTGTCCAGGGGAGAAGGGGTATCTTTTTAAAATCTGGCAATCTGGCGTTGTCTTGCCGTAGAAATCTATGCAAGCCTGTGCAGGCCGAAGGAATCGCAAAAAATATACATCGAAAAAACAAACTCTAGCCATCCCTCTCTGGTTTTTTTTTTTTAATCTGCACTCTGCTGCTGCTTTTATTATTATTATTAATCCTTAAAAATTCAAAGCGTGCCACGTTTTCGTAATTTTGATTTTTGGCTTATTTTGGTTGCAGCAGACTTATTTTCCATGGTTAATTTAAAAAAAAAAAACGGAGGGGGAGAAGGAAGCAGAGGGGGAAAGGGGGGGAAACACCCCACTGAAATTCTTATTTTAATGAATGCACCACAGATAGCTAGATAGATATAGATCGAAAGAACAGTCTTCTTTGAGTCTGATTTTTCTATCTTTGGACCAAAAAAAGGTCTAATACTGATCAATGTAGGAAGAATCAAAATACCATGCAAGCCTCTAGAACTGGGAGGATAACAGTCACCACCACCTCCAATTTCTCTTGTGTTTGGCGATTATAAAAAAAAAAAATGTACAGACTGGGCCCACGAATAAGGAGCCATCCAAAATTCAAAGCGGGGGAGCAGGCTTTTGTGGTGGTTGTGGTAGTTGTTGTTCCTTTCCTACTTGACGGGTGGAGTAGGTGGGCTTCTCTTCGTTAACTCACAACAGCTCTGTGTTCGAGAGTGTCATAGGAGCAGCCATAAAAAGTTGCAGTCGTTAGTTTCCCGCACCCCACCCCTCCTCGGAATCTCCTCCTCCCTTCATTTGGCCACCCACCAAACCCCAAACCCAGCAGATGCCCGCACAAGACGGAGAACCCCTGAATTCTCCAGGACGACCCTCCTGCTCCTCCTCCCCCCTCCAGGAAGGACCGGAGGAGTTTCAGCAAACCCCTGGAGCTATGCAGGTAAGCGGAGGCTCCTTCCTTCCTTCCTTCCTTCCTTCCTTCCTTCCTTCCTTCCTTCCTTCCTTCCATCCATCTAACCAGCCATCCTTCCTAGTGGCAGGTCGGGGCTGGTTTGGCAAGTTCTCTCGCTGCCCGGTTTTGGCCCATTTCGGGATGGCGCGCGTTTGAATGCGCGCGCGTGTGTGTGTGCGTGTGCGCGTGTGTATTCCAGTGCCTAATCAAAGCTATGGGTCCGCCAGCGCATTTATCATCCCATTACTGTAACAAATCCGGGCTCCCACTCCATGAAAGGTAAAATGAATTACCGACGTTAAGCCGTCAATAAAGTCATTTCTGTAAATGGTGTCTCCGAAGGACTGCAGCATTATTCAACCAGCTTTATCAGCAGCTGGGAAATTACGTGGAGAGGCGCGCAGCGTGTAATAGGGGCCCTGCTTACTTTGATTAAGCGCCGTGCCAGGGAATAGTGACAGTGCTTTTTGACCAGGTTTTATTCGCCGTCTTCTGATGAACGCCAAGCTGATCAGGCGGAATGAAGAGTAATTAAAACCTATAAATTATCTTTCGCAGCCCTTCTCAAGGCGTCTCTTTGCAGGCGAGATAAGGCGGCGGGCCCCCATTTACGACTCTGAAAGGGACTGAGGCGCACAAAGGCTACGCAGCTAAATGGGATATTGATAGTGTCCTAATTAGAATTTAATTAAGTACCCACGCTCGCTTTTGGGATAAAGATTTCAATTTTTTGTCCTCCCCCCTCCTTTGGCGAACTAAAATATAAATAAAACCCAAATTTAGGGAAATGGGGAGGAGGTTGGCTAAATCCGAGGAGATTTGGGAATAGCGAGATGTGGCTAATTTAATGTTGGGGGGTTTTGTGGGCTTGCGTCGAGTCTCCTCTGCCAGGTTGTAACGTATATATGTATACGAATGTACATATACATATGCTTGAAGTTGCTTTGAAAATGGGCCTTCTCGTGGGTCTTTCTCAAATAACCGCGATTTAAAGTCGTTGCGCTGTAGAATACTCTAATCCAATTATTAAGAAACAGTTACTCTTTCTTGGAGTTCCTTGAGGGGGGGATCTCCTCGTTTAAGTGATTTTGGAGTTTTTAATTTTTGTTTAAAATAAACGTACTTGCACATGTACGTGTACCTGCATGCACACATATCCTGTATACGTATATATACATGCACGCACACACACACAGAGAGAGAAAGAGAATTGAAATTATAGGATGCGTCCATTGCAAATCAATTTCAAAAATAAAAATGGAGAATTAAAGGGGGGGATGAGAGAAAAATAACAATCAAGTCACGTGACTCCGATCTTCTGTCTCTCTATTCTGTGAACAGGTTTTCAGGCCTTTTCACCTGCAGCCTCAGAATGTTTATGAACACCTGGAATTGACGCGGAGTCACTGAAAGGTAAAACTTGTGGCCTCATAAATCGCCACCACGGGGACCCAGCGAATCCTTCTCAGCTCCTCTCCATTAAAAAAGCAGTTTTAATATTTCAAAACAGTGTTACGTTTTGACCAGGAAGGGGAAGCGAGTGTGTGTGCGTGAGAGAGAGAGAAGAATGCGTTGCAGACAATAAATGATCCATGCAAAAATGATTAAAGCAAGGATAACATTATATTAGAGGGCAACGTGGTGCAAACGAAAAGCAACAACAGACCAATCGTGTTTTGTCTGCAAAAGAAATAAAAATCTCAGCGTGCGAATAAACTAAATGAATCCAGTTTGGATTATTGCTATTAGTTTTTATGAGGATGATTTGTTTTTCAGTGTTCTTTCATATCACGTGTGTGTGTAACATTGGCCCGTCACTATCATGTAAACGAACCAGCTGATAAATTGGCCGCTTTTGTACCTGCACGTTCAACCGCAGGTTAGGCTAAGATTGAATACACTATCCTTTAAACCGACACTCAGCTCTCCAACTATTTTCCTGTTCTTTTAAATGCCACCTGTTAATGAGTGAGGACATTATGGGGGCATATGCACGCTGATAGAATTATCTGCAAGAAAGAAATATTGATAAATGTTCCCTGGAATTGACAAGAGTGCTTGCCCAAAAGTCAGCGTTTAACCATCGTGTTTGGTTTGGGTGTTGTTGTCGTTGTTTTAAAAAAAATAGTGAGAGGGGAGCATGTGCTTAAGTCTGCAATCCTATGCACACACATGCCAGGAAAAAATTCCACTGATCTATTCCTGAGTCCACCTGTGCTCAGGATTGCTCAGCCACTTTCCTATTTTAAATCAATGAATCTGGAAAGTGTTGGGTCGAGCCCTTTTAGTCTTTTAGAAACTCCCTGCATGGTCTTTTTGACAAAGCTCATCTATGTCCTTTTTTTAAGTTTAAAACAAAAAACAGCGGACACAAACCATATCTGCCACCGCAAACATACACAGAGTATTGATAAATCTGTTTGGATTGGAACAGAGATTTCATAATTGGTTAGGTTACTAGTCATACTCAGAATACACTTCCACCCCATAAACGTGTTTTGTTTTGTTTCGAATTTAGAAAAGCATTCTATAAAGAATTTAGCATCTACTCTTTAGAAATAATAATAATAAACAACACAGGAAAGATTTCATTCCGAATTTCTTTTCCGAACCTCAGAAGATACACAATCATCTTGTGGAGTTTCAACACGTTATTTGTGGGGTTGATTTGGATATTTGCTTTTTGAGAAGCATAAGTAAATGAAAAGTCCTGGGCAGGAGGGAAAAGGGAAGGAGAAACAGACTCTAGAAAGGATGCGCCATGGAAAGCGCAAAGCTCCCCAGGTCTCCCTCTCTCTCTCTCGTTCCCTCTGAATCAGCCAGCCTCTTGGATAATGTAACTGCAAAGTTCCAGTGCAGCTCATTGGCCGACGTCAGGGGCGTCACAGAATTCCCGGGCTGCTCATTGGCTCTTTCCACGTGCGGGCCATCCTCACGTGCTTCCGGTCGGAATGAAAAAAAAGTGTGGCTGAGAGATTTTTTAAGGAGAGTTTGTTGCAAGATCGGAGCTGTCAGAGATTTTTGCTTTCTTTTTTTCCTTTTTTTTTTTAAAGGAGAAGTGGGGGAAGGAACGGTGGGAGGAAAAGATGCACGTGCGAGCGGGCGATTAAAGCATCTGCCAAGGCTGATCCGTGGGCAAAGCGGACTCTGACATTTGGGGAAACCCCAAAGCTGCGGCGCTCGGAGAAAGATGGGTAGATTGTGAGAAGACTTGGGGGGAGGGCTTTGGGGGGGCTGGTTTTGTTTTGGTCTCTCTCTCTCTCTCACCCCCCTCTCTCTTTCGGAAGAGGGGTGAGAGAGAGAGGGAGGGGGAGAGAGAAAGAGAGAGCGAGAGAGGAAATATAAAACAACTGCCCCAAAAGCGCGAATCGCTCCAAATGTCTGAGCCTTTGGATATCTCTCTCTAGATTCCTCGGCGAGCCAACAAGTGGATTTTATTTTGCATTTCCCCCATCTTTCCAAGAACAACAGCAGCAGCAGCAGCAGCAGCAGCAGCAGCGAGGACCCAACTACCCTGCCACCGCCCGGAAAAGTGAGGCGTGGTGGTGGTAGGTGGAGGGGGGGACCTCGAGTGAAGAAGTGGAAGAAGAGCCAAGACGTCCATCTGCGGAGCTGGCAGCTGACTATGGAAGAGCAGACGGACAGTAAAAGTCTGCGAGACTCTGCTCCGACTCCCGGCAGCCGCCCCAGCAGCAGCAGCCCCAGCGCCAGCGGCAGCGATGGCGAGAGCGTGCCGCTGTCTCCCGGCAGCCACGCTCCCCTGTCCCCGGCCGCGCCGTGCCTCGTGTCCCTGCCTCTCCACCCGCACCACCACCACCACCCTCCGCACCACCAGCACCATCTCCCGCAGCAGCAGCAGCAGCAGCATCAGGCGCCTCCGCCTCCGCAGCAGCAGCGGCCGCCGCCGCCTCCGCAGCAGCAGCAGCAGCAACAGCACCGCACCACCAACTTTTTCATCGACAACATCCTGAGGCCGGACTTTGGCTGCAAGAAAGAGCAGCTCTTGCTCCTGGCCGGGACTGCGGCCGGAGGAGGAGGAGGTGGCGCCGGCGGCGGCGTGGGCGGCGGCCGGGACAGGGACCTTGACCGCGCGGCCAGCTCAGGTAGAGAAAATGTCAACCCTCTGCTCGGCAGGCCCCCCAACCTTAGCGCGGAGTCGCACGGGAGCCCCGACAGCTCCTCCACGGCCTCCAAAGCCAGCCCCGCCGCGGCGGCCGCAGCGCTAGGGACGGCCAAGCCCCCCATCTCCTCCTCCTCCTCCTCCTCTTCCTCTTCCTCCTCCTCCTCCTCCTGCTCGGAAGGGAGTGGAACTAACCCGGCGAAGTACGGGGAGCACGCCAACCCCGCCATCCTGCTCATGGGCTCCAATAATGGAGGAGCTGTTGCCAAGAGCGATTCTCAACAGCCGCTGGTTTGGCCTGCCTGGGTTTACTGCACTAGGTATTCAGACAGACCATCCTCGGGTAAGAATCCTCTTCCGTGCCTTCAGCGTTGCCCCCTTCCCCCCTGTCTTATATATACACCTGCCATTTCTATATATATATATCTATCTCTCTGTGATATGAGTGTAATCCTGCGGGGAGCGTTAACCATCCCACCGAACCCAGGAAGCCAAGCCCCTAAACCGGCCACCCTGACGGTGCGCTAAGACTTGAGGCGCAGAGCGCGCCGAGGGATCCCAAACTGCGCTGGATTAAGCAGATGGGAGGTGGCGGCTTGAGACTATTTAGGAGTTTTGTGGAGCTGAGTCGGCTATTCCCCTCCCTCGCCCGCCCCAGAACCCTGCATTTTCTTAGGGTGCCCCACTCCGAGGTTTGCGGGGCTTTGGTGTTCAAGAGCGTCTTTTGCGCCCCCCCGGCCAGCCTTGCCCTTCGGAGACTGCAGTCTTAGGCTGCAAAAGAGCGGGGCCGGGGCTGCTGGCTGATTTCCCCCTCGGCCCGAAGCAGCTTGCGGAGGAGCTGCGACCGAAATGCCCCCGCAACCTGGGCAGGGAGGTCCGTGGACGTGTCTCTAGTGGAGGCAGAACCTGGAGAGATTGGAGGGCCCACTCCGCCGTCTCTCTCTTTCCTTTTCAGGCCTTGAAGGGTGGGTGGGGTGCCTCTCTCTTTCTGTAGTTAGGAAGGGGGAAGAAACTATAGTGTGCTTTCTAAAACTTTTTTTCCGGATATATCTATGGCTGGGAGAAAATTAGAGATTTTGGTGTGGGACGTGGCTGCAGACAATCAGTGCTTTTGTTGTTGTTCAGAAACATTCGCTGCTGTGCAATTGAGGAGTGAAGGAGACAAGTGTTGCCGTGTGAAGGATGCGTTTTTAAAGGAACTGGCACTGGCGGGGGCCGAAAAAGAAAGAGGAAGTGTGTGAGAGAGACAGAGAAAGAGAGATAGAACAGAAAAGGAAAGGGCTTTCTTGGGAAACCCGCGGAGGCCTCCCGGCAGCGGAGCACAAGAATCTAGGCCCCTAGGCCTTCATTTTTCCATTCCCCTCTTCCAGACCGGGAGCAATTCCCACCCCGTGGCCGGCATTTTCGCGCTTCCCAGCAGCCGGTTCTCCCTCCCGCCCCAGATGCTGCCTTGAGAAGAAAGGTGTCCTCCCCCCTAGTAGCCCCCCACATCCCCACCCCAATAAAAAAACCCCAGAATCCTCGATCCCGCTCGGAGGTTGAGGAATCTTCGGTTTCCAGGGGAGGGTTTAAATCCTTCCGGGAAAGGAGGTGTGGGAAGAAGAGTGACGAGAGGAGAGGGAGAGAAAGGAGCGGGGGGGGGGTCTGTCTCTCTGAATCAGCCCCTCCAACCCGTAAGGGCGAAGGAGTCGAGCGAGGGAGGCGCTCCGGATCAGCGCCCGCGAAAGCGCCCGAAAAGGGCGACCGCTCGCCTTTGCGCTCCGGTCAACTTCCAGGGCCGAACGAGAAAGGCAGGCGATGGGAGGCTGGTGGCGAAGGAGCTCCGGCCGGGTGCGCTCCCAGGTTGCCTTCTTCGCCCCACTTCGTCCATCCCTCTCTCCCACCGCCCCCCAACCTCACCAACCCCGGCTCGGGGCTCTTTATGAACTCCTTTCTGCCGGCGACTGATCAATCCTCCGCTATCAGCACCAGCCATCTCGATCACGCCGCTATTGACACATCCCCGCTCCTTGGAACTCAGAAAAGCCACTTTGATTGACTAAACGGATTGATTGAGTGATTGAGCTGTCAGCTCTACCTTCCGCGGCCAACTGCAATGATTTTATTACTGCTTTCCCAGGGCCGCTGCCTTGCAAAGTGTGTTTTGATAGGAAGGCTCCCCACCACCACCGGCAGCGGCACCCTGCAAAGACAGCGCCTCGGCTCCCTGGAGAGGCCAGGACGGGCCTCTCCTCGAGAGAGGCTGCAGCGGTGGCTCTTGACGGTGGGCCCTCTCCGATGCCGGCCAGGCCCCCCCACAAGCCCTCCTCTTAGCCCACCTTTCCCTGGATGTGAAATAGGGGGTGTTGATCTCTTGAGACTGGCAGTTGCCCCCACCGCCTATCGCTTTCTCACGCCCCCCACCCGAGACCTGCCCGCTTCTTGGGAACGGCTCCTTTAGAATCTGCTCCCCACTGAACAGAGAGATCCGAGCAGCGATCATCTATCCCCGGGCCAAAAATCTCAGCCCTCAAAAGAGCTTTTCGCCGCTAGGAAATTTCTCTTGGCTGTTGTTATTTTCCGTAAATGAGGGGACTGGGGAAATATCTTGAGATTTATTCAGCCGGTTCCGTTTAATCCCTTTCTGTAGTTTATTCAGCCGTCTCTCTCTCTTTCTCTCATCTATATATTTTTAAGCCTGGTTTTGAAAGCAGCCAGACGTCTCAGAGCTTTTTGCGGCCTGCTGACCGGAGGTTTTCCTCAGGTTCAAGCGACTGGCCCCAAAGTTGGCGATCTTTGGAAAAAGGCTTCATTTTCATTTTGTATCCTATTTTAAAAAATATTCGTGTTTGCGTAATTTTAAAAAATGGCGTTTTAAGGTACTCTTTTTAAACCCCCTTCACGATATAAATTGCTTTGAAGAGGGGAATCTTACCCACGTATGAATACGGTATATTCTTTCCCTAAAATAATTTGTATTTGATACATTTCCCAACAAAGCAAAAACAAGGCGGCTTTGGAAAGACGAAGTCTGAACGACAACGACTTAAACAAGGATTTGTCTCGATTTATTCCAGTACTTATTCGGGACACACTGTTTGGCTGATGCCTAAAGTGCTCGAATTCTATTTAAGGGGACGATCTACTTCCTCCAGTCTCTCCCCCCCCACCCCCCACTTCTGCAATTTTTAAAAAAGTTTCCCACCCATTTCTTTTAACAGAGAAAGAGAGAGAGAGCGCGCTTAGAAATGGGAGGGATGCAGAACAATTTGCCTTAATTTCCGAGGGCTCCTCCAAGGCTATGGGTCTAGTTTTGGAGTCCTGCGAGGCCAAGATGTGTTGATATGAAATTGCTGGGAAGGGCTTCTAAGCAAAAACGCGCGGACTTCGAGGAAGCACCCTTGCGCGCGTGTTCGTTGGTTTAAAGAGATGTGCATTTTGAACGTGAGGACACCGGCTGGGCCAGATCTCTCAGTGAAAGATAGTGTAGGAACGCCCTCCACTTGGAAATATACGGTATTTATCCGCGGCTTTTATTGGAAGGGTTTTGGTAGAGTGGAGACTAGCGGTTTCAGTGAAGTGTTCCCCCAGTCATTGTAGGCGATGAGGGTTTGTCTGGCATTGTGTATTTGCGTTTGCAGAATATACTTTTGCGGCAGGCTTCAAAAAATGAGCATCCAGCGCAATTTATTTTCCCTTATCATCATCATCATCATTAGTAGTAGTATTATCTAGTCGTTCGGCAATAAGGCCTTTGGACCAGCTTGCAATAAGGGTTGCTTAGTTTCCCAAAATAAGAAATTTATTTTGTCTGTGAGGGGAAAGAGGTATGAGTCTACAGCTGAGCACACATTGAAATAGGTATTTATAATCCGAGAGTCTTGCCTAAATTTATTGCCTGGTGTTTTTTTGTTTTTTGTTTTAGAAAATTATGAATTTCAAAATTATAATATTAAATATAAATTAAACACACACATATACAACTTCCCAGGCTTGCTTTGTCGAGGGACGCCTTGGTTTGATTTGGAGGAGGAAAGTCTGGGTCCTGCTGCGGATCAAAACAGATTTAAAATCCGGTGTTGTCCCGGCGCATAAGAACCTCCAGCGCCGTCTGAGCAGCTTCTACTCCGAAGCTGATCCTGCCGAATTTAATGGGGCATAATAAAATTCGGTATGACTTGCTCCCGAGTAGACAGGGTGAGGCCTGCGCTGTTACTCTTCGTGCCTGCTAGTGGTACTGTTAGGCCCAGCCCCAGCAACAACAGAACCCGCTTCGTAAACCGCTTGCAATGTTTGTTTTGGGTCCAGTCTTTAAGTCTGTTTACCTCGGTGCTTATTTATCCTTACAATTCAGCGGGAACTTTCTGGTTGCGTTATTTCAAACATGTCCTTGTAGTAAACATGTATGTTGAGGGTGAATGACGTTGGGAAAGGTTTCCTGGGGTGTTACCTCTAACACGTACCATTTAACTCTAGCAGTTCCGGAAATGCTGTATGTTTGATCTGTGGGCTTTTTAAAAACAAAACAAATCCAGGAACCCCACGCTTTCCTAAATGAATATAAACTGCAGCGAAGGCCCATAAGTGAGGAGCCCGCTTCCCTAACGCAGCCATCTGCTGAGGAAGCTCGGTGTGTGTGTATTTGTTGTTTTTTAAAAAAACTTTCTGATACTTTTTACTGAAGCTCATAACTAATTAGTCAGACTTCTCCCCCACTTTCAAAGTGTGTGCTGTAAAGTTAAGACGCTTTGCCTTTAAGAGATGAGAGCTTTTAAGGGGAAGAGGGCCAAAACACCGCCTCTCCCATACGTATATTTTGTGTATTAGAAATGTGTGCGTGATTCCAGCTGCACCAGACTTGATAAATCCAAATTAACTGATTGATCTACCTCTCAGTCTTTTTCTCAAACTATCTATCCACAGATATAGATAGATGGATAGACAGATAGATGGTGATCAATAGAAAACTGCTTTAGATCTGGTGCGATCAAACAATTGAGCTTGGGCCCGGACGGGGAAAAGTTAGCAGAAGCATCCGCGTGCCTGACCAATACCTATCCTGACAAAGGTTTCCCTATGGATTTTCCGCCCCACTCCCCTTTGTTTCTTTGCTTCCCATCTCGCCCCTCTCGCCTTTCTTCCTTGGCGTCTTCTCCTTCGCGCCAGCTAAAAGTGGGCGATGCTGCTCTTCTAATGTACTCGCACAGAACTTGGGACGAAGAAGGGCCTAGACTGTTTTGAAAAGCGCCGGGGTGGGGGTGGTAGTGGAAACAGGCGTCCTGAAGGACGTGGGGTGGGGGAGAAATGCACCCACGTTTTAAACAGTGGAGGAAAAGACGTAGGATATATGTGGGTTGGGGGGAAATCCAAGCAGATCAGTTCTGACCCTGCCCATCCATCACGGTTGCCGGGTGCCCCTTTTGGAAAGGGGAAAGGAGGCGCCCCCCTTTCCTTCAAAACAGAGTCTCCCCATTTCCGGAACGCCCGGCGTTGCTCCCATGTGGCAGGCTCCCCTTTATGTGTGTTGCATGTGTGTGTGTGTGTTTTGGGAATGCTTCTGACCTCGCAACTGCTGTCCCCTTTTCTCTCTCGTGCCCCTCACCCCCTCCTCCTTCCCCTTTGTGTGCGTGTGTGTGTTTCTCTCTCTCTCCCTCCCTCCTCCACCCCTCGCACCCCCCCCCCTTTGTAGGTCCCCGCACGAGGAAGCTGAAGAAGAAGAAGAACGAGAAGGAGGACAAGCGGCCTCGCACCGCTTTCACGGCGGAGCAGCTGCAGAGACTCAAGGCGGAGTTCCAGGCGAACCGCTACATCACCGAGCAGAGGCGGCAGACTTTGGCGCAGGAGCTCAGCCTCAACGAGTCGCAGATCAAGATCTGGTTCCAGAACAAGCGCGCCAAGATCAAGAAGGCCACGGGCATCAAGAACGGCCTGGCGCTGCACCTCATGGCGCAGGGACTCTACAATCATTCCACCACTACCGTGCAAGACAAAGAGGACAGCGAGTGAGCGCGCCCAGAGAGCACAGACCTTGTCGGGTTTATTTTGTTTTTTCGTTTTTTGATGCTTAATATTATTATTATTATTATTATAATTATATTATTATTATTATTATGAACCTGATCGCCAGGGAAGACAGAGAATAACCATACAAAGCAAAAGAAAAGCAAAGAGGAACAATTAAAAAGAGAGAGAGCGCGAGAGGACAATTTGGGAAAAGACAAAACACACGACAAACACAAAAGGACTTCTTTCCTGCAGTGACACACAGTTGTGGGGGACTTGGAAGGGTGCTATTTAAGAGAGAGAAAAGAATCAAATTTATTGTCTATTCATAGTTATAAGGATTCCGATTTAAAACAAAACAAAAACCCCGAACACTTACAAACAAAAAGTTATCTATATAGCCAAACATCGTATGATCTTGTATATATTTAATTTCAGGTAAGAAATGATGATGATGATAATGATGTGTAGCGTTTTTCTATTCGCTCAGCCGTTGATCTCCCCCCCCCCCCTCCCCGCCCACCAGCTCCACTTTGGTCTCTCCCCCCCGTCTTCTTTTTCTTAATTATAGCTCTCAACTCCTCCAGCCCCCCCTTCAGCCTCCTGATTTTAAAGAATTCGTCTGGCTTTTCCCGATTTCCCTGCTCCCCCTTTCTTCTTCTTTTCCCTGTCGCGTTTTCGTGTGTGCCTTTCTCCCTCTCTTTCATTTCGTGCGTGTGCGTGTGGTGTTTCTTTTTCTTCTTCTTCTTCCTCCTCCTTCTTCTCTCCCCCCCCACCCTACCGAGTAAGAACAATAACACTATGACCCACAGACTGCGAGACTGAACCCCTTGCTGCAAGCCAAAGATTTTTTTCTTATGTTCAGAAATCTGTAGTCTGAAATAAAGTGTAGATTGTGTTCAGGATATATACCGATTCTGTAATTCTTCTCTGTTCTCCAACCCCACTCCCCCTTTAATACATTAATATATTAAAATACCCTGTTCTTCTTATTCTTTATATACATTTATCTCTAAAACTATCTGGCATATATCTCTCCCAGATTATTTTTTTTAAGTGGGGAGAATTTTTTTTTAAACCAACGTCTTGTTTCCCTTGCTCATTTGCTCTCAGCTTCTTCCCTCGCTGTTGGATCCCTGGGTGGGATAGTAGGGCCCCAATCCAATGAACTGTAGTCCTACTAACTGCCCGGCTCTGAGCATGTTTACTTAGAAATGAGTCTTACTGAGTGCAATGGACCTACCCCCTCCCCCAAAACCCCCACACCCAACAACAACCCAAAATCTCAGCCTAAGTCCCTTGGGAAGAGAAGGGACTTTTATCTTCCGGGCTAACTTGTTTCAACGGGATATGCTCAGGCTGAGCTAGTGGAGGAAGACTGAACACCACCAAAGATCTAGAAATAGGTGCTTCGGTTCCAGAGGTGATATATTTGTGTGTTTGTGTGTGAATATGAAATGAATGAAAGCTAATAATGTCATGAAATTTCCTGGCTCCTTCGAGTTCCAGGATGGGTTGGAGAGAAATTTGTCTGACAGCTCCCTGCCTCGCATCCAAGATCATATTGAATTTCTACTGAGGCGCTTTTTCGCCAGGAAGAGCAATAGAGGCAGGAGAGGGAGAGGGGAGGAGGGGAGGGGAAATGATCGGTACTTTGCAGACGGTTGCTTAGCAGCGCGGCATAATGAATGGCGGGGCGGGGGGGGGGGTTAGCTTTCCCTCCGCGGCCTTCTTCGAGCAGCCATTGCCTTTTAAAAATGTTCAAGTAAATTCGGCCTTTTAATGTTAGGGATTTTTTTTTTTTTTTACTCCTCCTTCCCCCCACCCCCAACACTGAGATGGAGCAAATGGCCTCGCTTTCCAAGAGAGTTCCCCCGTGCCCATGAGGACGGCCACTTGAACTAACAGTTACGAGCAGGTGGATAAATCCGCCTTCTCTGGCAGGCCAACATTATTAAGAACAGACACCATTTTTAATTTGCTTGGAGACACCGCGGTCGTAGGAGCTCAGTATTAATTTTGTGTTCTGGTGACTCTTCCATGAAATTGTCAAGTACCTTGTGGGCATCTGGGCGTGACCTCAAAGCCGGGCGCCCTCTTTCTTTCTTGTCCCGGATCCCAGTCGTTTGCAAAGGGGCACCCTAAGCACAGCCATCCCCCCACTATGTTCAGGAACAGAGCTCATGCTTTGCCCTCAAAGGTCCCGAGTTCCTTCCCTTGGCATCTCCCGGGTAAATTTTCAGGCAGTGCGTACAATTACTGAGCTACGTGGACCACTGATCCCTAGGTAACAGCGAGTCCAGCTGACTCGCAATTCAGAGAGTTTGGGTGGCCTTGTTCCAAAGTATGTCCCCTGATTTCAGTGGGCTTTGCTTTCAAGTAAAACATGGCTAGGACGGCTGCTTGAATTCCGCTGGGTGGGTATGCTTATGTTAGTCGTAATGGTAGTGGTGGTGGTAACAGCGGGAATAGCGGACGTAGCATTCGGGCAAGGGCCTTGGCTCAAGGGTAGAACACCTGATTTTGGTGCAGAGGGTCCCAGCTTTACTCTCCATCATCTCCAGTTTGGGCTGGAAGAGGCCCCCATCTGATACCCTTGGGGAGAGCTGCCAGCCAGTAGGTTCGGTACCCCAATGGCCTGACTCAGTATAAAGCAGCTGCCGATGTTCCTATGTCGCTTCCCTTCCACTCCTTCATTTATTCATGTATATATTAAAAACTGACCAATGTGGAATTCAGTTTATGATGCTTCGCTATTAAAGCCATCCTTTGTTTACAAGCGTCTATTTCTCTCCCCTTGAAATGCCCGGGATTTGTAACACTGAGTCAGTTCTGACATAACGCAGAAAACCACCCACCCCGAAAGAAGGGAAGGCACTTCCCCACCAAGGCACTTAAATGCCCTTCCTTCCAGTGGGAAAGAGAAGGAACTATTTAAATTTCTCCCCCTGAAATCAAAGGGCCTCTGCGCTTGAAGGTGCAGTGCTACTACACGCGTGTATCCCGGAGAAAGTCCCATCGAGCTCACAGGAACTTAAGAGGATTGCGCTGCTCTTTTGGTCACGGGCCACGCACGGAAAAGATAAAAAATTAAATGTTTGTTGTTGCTGCTGAATGGCAACGTTGGCACACTAGGAAGTCACGGCGCTGGGTTGGAACGAAATCTAGTCCCTTAAGATAAGATCAACCCTCCCCCCCAAAAAAAACAACAACAACTTTAAGGGAAATATTGTAGTTTAATGGAACTGTTGGCATGTTGACTCACAGTCTTGCTGCGGACAATGGAACTCGCTCTGCACAAAGCGTGTTAAGGCTTATAGCCCAAATTCAAGTGCGCCCAGCCTACGAATATTCCGCTACGACCCGTCCAGACTGGGGTTTCTTGGGTGCATTGATAAAGTCCAGTGACTGAAATTCTGGAGACGTGTGTGTGTGCGTGTCTGCCGTGTCTGAAAAATATTTTATTTCGTGACACACACTGACACCCCCCCCCCCACCTCTGTTGCTCACCATTAATTTTACATGCCGTTCCACACTGGTCCAAAGAAGTGTGATCCACCAGTCCCCCTTCTGCTCCATTTACAAGTAAGGTACAATACCTGCAACGCAATCCTAAGCATGTCTACTCAGGAGTGGACACCACTGAGCTCAATGAGACCTTCTCCCAAGTTAAGGGCACATAGGATCCGGGCGGGACCATTGAATTCAGAGGAGAGAATTGAGTGGATAGGCCCATCGTTCAAAATAAAGCGAAAGGATTCAGCAGCGCTTCCCCTCTCCCTCCAAACATGGGCACCCTCTAACTTCAGAGAATGATGCAGAGCAGCCTTCCCCAATCTTGTGCCATAGCTCCCTTCAGTTGCTTTGGACTACAACTCCCATCAGCCCCAAGTCAGCTTCCTGATCTGGGTTGATAGGAGTGTAGTCCAAAGCAGCAGGGTACTGGTGGCAACAGGTTCAGGAAGGCTGGGGACAGCGTGGCCCGTGAAACTGATGAGAGTTTTTAGGTCTTCCATAACAAAATTAACCTTTCCCGTAAACGTGTGTGTGTGTGTGTGGAGGAAACCCCATCTGAATGAGGTGATTTAGATTCTGGTCAAAGCTTATCCAACCTTTCCTTCCACGGAGTTTACGTACATGGGCGCCCTGCCATGTTCCCTTCACAACAACCGCATAAGGTAGGTCAGGCCGAGAGATGGCCATTGGTGAACTCACGCAGCGGATTTCACGGCTCAGCGGGAGGACCACGAGGCCACCATCTAGCTAATTTGTGCTTAACCTTAGAAGAGGCTAGAATTGGTCTCAGGTGACATCGGGGTGGCAGTGAGCGCTGTACTTCATAGAAAATACTACACTAAAATTTGACTCCCCCACTTGCTCGTCCCGTAGGAAACTCCACTCCTTTGCCTGTAAAGTTTGATCTTCTAGCCCCCTCTTTCAAAAAACTAACTAACTAACTAAACTAACAACACCCACAAAAGCCAGTGGCCTAAACACACACGATGCTCAAATTTATTGCCTTTTGTTTGTTTCGAACCAATTCCATTTCTCTGTGGCAGGGATGGAGAACGCGTCGCCCTCCAGATGTGGTCAGGACACAGCATCCCCGAGGTCTGGCGAAGCTGGCTGGGGCAGGTGGCGCTTGAGCCCAACAACATCTGGGAGGGTCACAGGTCCCCTGACCCTGCTCTATGGATTTGGCGCCTAAGCTTCCTAATCATGATCTGGGCCTTGTTTTTTTAAGGAGCATCTCACAGCTGCAGTCCTAAACACATCCACTTCCGGTTAGGCCCTGCTTCCTCTTTCTGGGCCCTGATAGACTGCAATCCTATGCACACTTACTTGGGAGTAAACCTCAAAATTGGGACTAAATTCATGTATACCGTTTAGATCTTTGTTGGTGTGGTTGCTTCAGGGGTATACATAGGAGCCAACTCCTAGGGGCAGTGGGGGCTTCGGCCCCCACGATAAAATATTTGAGGGGGCTGGGCCCATGAAAAGTTGATTGCCACTCCCATTCAGATAGTGTGCGCGCACTGTGTCATGTGATCAATTATGTGAGGCGGGTCTTACTTAGGCCCCCACAATCTTTTATTCAAGTTGGCACCTTGGCGGTATATAAATCTTGTTAAATCATAACTAAATAAATTCCCAGTAAACTCTTCTAGGATGAGGCTGCCCTGCTCTTAGCTTCCAACTTCCAGCTTCCAGGCTGTTTCTGCATGGAGAGAGAGAGATTGGGCAAAGTCACCCAGAAGGTAATTTTGAAATACATACGGTAATACTTCGGAGCAACCTCAAAGAATTGAGTTTTCTTTTTTACACTTGCAATGGCCTTAGAACTGTGATGAAGGGGTTTAAAAATAAAAATAAAATTAAAACAAAACAATTGAACCTGAAGCATCAGTTCCTACTCAGTCGCTTCACAGAAGGAGAAAGTTAAATGGAGTCTGGAGTTCAAACAGTATCGATTAAAGGCAAATGATGCGGGTAAACAAACAAACTAACTAACAAATATTAATTTCTCTCGGAGCTGCTGCTTGGCACGGCTTGCCGTTTAAATAGCCGCCCTACCCGCTCACACGAAAACCGACGGCCTTTTGCAAATAGGAGGTGGGGCGGTGCTATTATTGCTCGCGGAGAGATATGCAGGCGTTTTAATTATTTCTCTCCTCTCATAGCCTCAGGTATATTTATAGAAAGGTAAGCCCCACCCACCTGCCACACCTCCTCTTTTATTTGCTGAACAGGGAGGAAGAAAGGGGGGAAAAATAACTACTTGCTGTCGTTAAAACGGCGAAGAGAAAACCCCCTCCCCATTTTGGGACTT